ATAGAGCTTACGAGAATATTTTGATAATATTTTAGTGGCAACGTCCGTTTTAGCTGCTTGATTTAAACAATCACACTTTCCTGTAGTGAAGACTGTAGTAGTAGAGTTTTATTTGTAGGAACTCACTCACTACTATAACTCAAATAATAATATTAAGTGTAGTGCCTATAGAGGATGCCTATGGCATTAAGTCCGCCATTGTTTAGCGCATTATCATAAGTTTTAGTAAACAAAAAAGAATCAATGGTTGCATAATTTCACGATGTATCCCTTTTTTTTTTTTCCGTGCGGAAATCCCCTCGGATACCACCTATCGGTGGCATGTCGGACTCGAACTGACTAAAACCGCACGCCGTCTCGGGTACTAATAGCCAGGGAACCAGGTATACCCTAGAAAGGAAGTCCCTGGTGCCCCGACATACCTCGGGTCATCTACAGACGAGTAGACGACCCCCCCCCGTCACGATGTATCCCTGGCGTGAATGTTATATGTGTAATGTAATTATTTATTTATGTTTATTTATAATTGCTCTTAAAGCGTAAGCGGGTTCTTAGTTTTATCTTGTGTGATTTTTTTGTGTTAAGTTGGAAAAAAATATTTTTCAGTCATGAGAGGAAGTGATTATTAAAGAAGTGAGAAAATACCTTTCATCTTAAGTGTAACTTAAACTTAATTGAAATAGTGTTTTTTCCAGGATGTAATATCTATTCTATTATATAATTCTATTCTATCTATTAGATTAGATGCGGAAGGCGGAGGAACTAAGGCTAGGGCGCACGTTAGGGGAGGCCATGTTTAGCAGTAGGCTCATTAATTGATTGACTGATAATAGTAATATTTCGTATTAGTTTTAGTTTATCCAACGCAGGTGGAGGGGCTTAATTTATGTACCTACTTGATAAGTTGGCGCATGTTACAGATTATTAAATACGTTAAAAGTAGTTAGCATTGCAGTGCTACTTTCTCTCTTCTTATTATTTTATACATATAAATATAACAAAGATTATAAATTATGTTTGTTTATTTGTCTGTATTATTATCAGGGTCAAACAGCAAGATTGTTAAAGTCCCTTGGCGTGATATTTTTAAACCTAACATAAAGCATATTACAAAATAATGATTACTACTTTAAATCTGACTAATTAAAAGGATTCTGGTTATCAATTCTATATTAGCAAAACAGAAAGGAACTACAATAGAAATACAAAATTACATATGAGAAACTAGACTGCACAATTTCCGAATGTATTTGCAGGTGACGTAACAGTAATTTTATTAAAATTAATTAATTAGACTTTAAAAGACATCGCCTTGCAAAGAAACGTTTGCGAAAATTTGGTTACAGAAATAATTATCTGAATGTCAAAAAAAAAGTAAAATATTTAACATTAGATGCTCGCAAAAATAGGTGGAGGTTTTAAACATGAACTATGATTAGAATTTACAAAGTCGATGACGCGGTTCTCAGGTATTTATAGATTCAACTGAAAATTGAGAGGTTATTTTAGAACTTAGAGACCATTATAGTGGTTTATTCTTGGGAAAAGATTTCTATTATCGACGGTCACCTCGCCGCTTTGATCCCCACATGGGATAACTTTTGTGTGATCCATAAATTGTTGTTCTGAGTCTGGGTGTTCTTTGTGTTCGTTTCATTATGTCTGTAAAGTCCCCCGCGACACAGGAAATATCCCAAGTGCAGGAGTTGTATTTTTTTAAAACAAGAAAGAAGATTTCGTTTATGCTCACTCATAGCTTTAATAAATGCATTTCAAAATATTAATTCGTCACGCTCTCAAAAATAACCCCTATAAATTAACCTTACATTAGTACATTCTCTACAAAAGAGGCCCTGTCCGAATCACATGGATTTTTGTTTAAGAAAACATTGAGACTTGTTCACATTATGCATACAAGTTATTTTTATTACATTTGATTCTTTTTAACTGAATGGCCAGTAATCATAGGATTCCTAAAAATTGCTTTAAAGATATGATTCTCCATATTCTAAGATTTCAGATTATAGAATTCCTAGCAAAACAAACAAAATAGCTTTTGGCATAAGCAGATATTTGGCAATGGGCTTGGGCTCCAGCGACATTAGCGGCAATCTGGGTAGAAAATTTCTTGAAACGTATAAAGAAGGTACATATTTAATTTATATGAAATGTTAAACTAGACAAATAATGAATTCGATATTATTATGCTACATAACCGAGCGATGAGTGATGATTTTTTTGATTCACGAAACAATTCAGCAATTTCTGTCATTTATCATCGGTAGTTATCAAGAATACCTTGACATTTTACAGTAAATATATTGTATAGCATTAGTTTCAACATTGGTATTGTGATAATATTTTGTTATTTTAGTAATAAATTTTTAAATAGAGATTATCAAACAAGAAAATTACACTTTGACGGTCAACAACTTGATAGAGCAAAGATAGAGCAGATATGTGCGGCCGCCCTTGTACATAAGTATTTCAATTTAAAAAAACCCTAGGTCCAAATTAGTAAACAGGCATATTTTACCCCAGAATCCTAGGGTTTTTTACTAGGCAGATTACACAATACATAAACATCTTAAACACTGGTATATGAAACATCTCTTATCAAATATCAACGTCACGTGCGCAAGCCACGGCAATTAATATTGCTTCCAAAGACAACTTTGATGAGTTCATTGTTTGTAAGTGCCGACCGAAACGTTCTTGCTCAATTGTACCAGCCTGTGCATGCAATGTTAGCAAGGACATACAATAACCGGTGACCGCTTCTGCAGCAAATATCGTAGAACATAATTTAGAAATAAAATACTTAAAACTAGCACCTAACAGTTGTAAATTTTAGTCACTTGTGTAGAAATGTAATATTTAATTAATTAAAATTTTAATCAGCAATTTTGATAGAAATGTATACAAACATCGGAACAAGGCCGATATCTTCGCATGTCACAATCATAGCTCACGGTTACAAAGCTCTCAAGTATTACGCAAATTTGTAAATTATAGAAAAAAATAAAGATGAAGGAGTAAGATAGATTGAAGAAGCATTGCAAAAATTACATTTATTAAAATTGATACTGGTCTATCAAACCTGGTGTTAATATTCAATGATAAGCATTTGCAAATCTATTACAAAATTGTGCATATACGAGTCAATATAACACTTCAGCTTTCTATGCCCTTTTGTATTGTCATCACGTAATTTAGGATTGAAGTAAATGTTGTAAGTCGAAAATAACATATGCTACATCGTGAGTATTGCTACAAACTCTTATACAATGATGTCGACTGAACAAATAGCTGTGTGTTCCGCATTTCTACTGAGCTTCATTTACGCAGGACGTTACGTGCGGCACGAGTCAGTCCATCGACCAATCAACCTAAGAAATACTAGTTACCAGATAAATATAAAAAAAAAACATCATCCACATCACTTAAAGTATTGTCAATACTTAAGTTTTTACTAAATAAACTTTTAAATGCAACTTGCAAGTTATCGTTATACTGCTTCCTTCAGAGGCGATATGCCAACAGCCGTCGATATATAGAGCTGCTTGAATAAATCCAAACACAAGGCTAACCACAAAACCCACCACAGAATAATACTTAATATAGAATTTAAAAAAGTTCGTTCAGGTCTGCTTTCCTACGCTAGATGTTAAGTTTAACATACGCAACATTGAAGAAATAGCGACGAACGATGATGTCTCGCCGTAAACGAGGTCAATGTTCGCCAAATGGACTAGAATAAAAATAAGAAAGGCTATGGCACTCCTTCTACAGGTTACTTACCCAGTTTTCGCGCTATTAAAAATTCAACGAATCGTCACAAACTTTCACTCACAATGAGCCAGTGTAAGCGACTTTAGATTGTCATCATAGTTAAAACTAAAAAAAAAAAATACGCATATGTCGATGACTAGTACGGTACTGATTTCTGATCTCATGATCTTTATGGAATAAAATTGCGCTTTTTCGCATACATATATATATATATATATATATACGGAGTTATGGTGTGGATAAAGAACTCGACCAGTAATTATATTACGATCGAAAGACTAAATGAAATATTAATGCGAACAATAATTGTTGCTTAGAAAGTTCTATACGACTTGTCGAGATTGGACATTGCATGCCCGCACGCTGCGCGAGAAAGCACGACGATGCGCACACTGCCTACTTACAATTTAGATATTTCTAAAATTTATTTAATCAAAGGTATTTCTCGGTCAAGGATAAAATTGCGTTTATTAACTGAAACACTTAGTAGTTGATAGGTAAATTAAATTATTTCAATTTTAATACTTAAAAACTCTATATAAGGAAGATATGAATGCTTATTAAATAGACAGACTTATTTTTAAACTCCAATTGTAAGGAATAGCTACTAGTCATTGGTCGGAACAGTCTTGCTTTAATAGACGACTCATTAGGTACAGCAATCACGATCCTCAGCAGCAAGGGAACAATAAGGAGGGACGGCAATAATTTTAATACTTGATAAAATAAATCTAAAGTCGGCTTTTAGATTGCTATGGAGAACGGTGCTTTGCTTTGTTTGAAGAAAGTAAAAGTTACGAATATCTTTGCTTACGGTGAAAATCGTTCGACAAACCCAACAAACCCGTGCTCGCACGAAGCGACCCACTGGCCACCGACCCGAGATTTCACTTTTAACATATCCAACGAGTAAGCCCTACTTCACAATAATACAACACTGAAGAATCAACCCTCTTCTAACTTGTAATTTGCTATCGCAACTTCATTCAGAATTTCCAATTATTTACCCACTTGAATGATCAGCTGACAAGGAGAGGTTATTTACTGTCATGCTGTTATGTAAAGATGACCATAACACTTATTTTTGTGATTATTATTTACAGTAATTTAAAACGATAAGAAAATATTTAAGTATTTTTTTGAAATCTCGTATCTTTTGTAAATAATATTAAAATAAATTCAAAACATGAATTACAGAAGTATCTGACCTGACATGTCTTTCCAAATATTCGCAATGGAGATGGTCCGGGAGGTTTGAGTTTCACAAATACAGTTTGCTTTCGAACTTTATGTCCGAATTGACACAATAACTTATCTTGAACACGAGCACAGAGCCTACTCGAACTTAAACACGCCATAGCAACAACTGCAACGAAACGCTTGACGATATGGACTACATAACATACACAGGCCACAGCGTACAAGCATTCGCCTTTTCCTCCCCACTATAGACAGCTGATTGTCAAAAACGCCATGTTTAAGTGTTGCCAGTTGGCATTGATGATGAAAAACAAAATGACATGTTTATAGGTTACATTACATTATGTACTTGTACTTGAAAAAGGAGTGTGAAATAGAAATAATAAACAACATACATACATAAAATATGAATCTAATTTATTTTCCTAACTAGTGGTATAAAAAATTTAAGCCTAAAGGGAAGGAAAAATCTTTACTCAAAATGACCCGTGTTTTGAAAAGAAGTACCTACATAATATTTTAACTTTTCGACATGACATTGATTTAGACACGTCAATTATGTGTAATCGTCAGCAGCATATCATTGTAGCAAAATAAAAATACATATAGGCACTGCCGGTCAGGTTACTCCTGAACAACAATATACTTGTTCGTATCTAAGGGCTTTATCGTAGCTTATCTAAGGGCGTATCTAGTAGCTTTTTTAGTTAATGTTGCTGGCTTTTTGTATGTTCATATATTGCTAATCCCTGGTTGTAGTGTATAAATTCCTACCAAAATTAACGAAAAAACTACTAGTTCTTTTCTTTTTCAAGTGACAACTCTGTGATCTAACCTAAAAAGTCTAAAAAATAATCGTCAAACGAAACGATAACATTGGTAATTTCTTCGCACACTGCATAGGGGATCTATTTTTGTATGCGCCTGTTTCTTAGTGAAGCGGGTCCTTTCATATACTGTTTTTTTGGATCTAGAAACTATAACAATGATTTCACGTCTTACGCATATGATACAGCTTGTAAAAAATGTTGAAAGAAATCTGTGCCGCATTATGTTTGGAAACCCACCTAAAGGTTATCATAAAAATATTAAATTGAGATATGCCCTACATTAATCCATAATATTTATTATTACTTAAAATACATTTATCCAGCACTATATATTATATTACTATATAATATTTTTCAGAGTTGGCGTTGGCATACGTTCACGACAATAAATTAACATCACCTAAAAAAATTTCAATTGAAGATATTATTGGTGATGGTATGTTATTAGCCGTACCGAAATTTCGACGAACTATTGAGAGGCGATGGAAGAGAAAATATGGTTCCCCTGAATATGTATGGAAAATGCTTGTGCCAAAAAATAATATCAAAGTGTGCCAGACTTGTGGCCACCATCATGAAAAAGGACTATTATGTGGTAGGTTTTACATTGTTAAATATATAATATATCATCTGCACATCTGGCATTACATGTTGATATTTGCCACAGGATTTAAAAAGCTATGTGTTTATGTTGGCTAATAACATTTTTTTAGATCTAATTTGACGATGTTTTAGTAGTAATATTATAATTAATCATAATCAATAAATTAAAAATAAACTTTGTGCTACTAAGATTTTACATTATATGAGTTACGCTTAAAAATATGCTTAAAATTACCTAAATGGTTATATTTTAACCCATTTAAAACCCAAATACAAACTAGAAGCAAAATTTTGAAATTGTGTTTATACCAATACAAGCTACCCAGACACTTAAGTACATAAAAACAAAAAAATAATTATTTCTGTATATGAGAAAAACACCCAACCTCAAATGGGGCCTATTGGCTCAAGTATAGTATTTTTCAAAACATCCTCTGGCATAATGTTTTTACACATTTTTTGCATACATGGCATCGCAGTTGACTTGAAAGCTTTTGAGTGTCATGTCCAACACCATCTTTGCTTACCCTTGGCACCACTGAACACGGTTTGCGAATTCTCCCATCAGGTCTTTCAGTCTCTACATCTCTCGAACAAAATTCAGGCGATGCTTCGGCGAAACTTGAGCTTATCTATTTTGTCTTTCGCTGTCAAAAGATGGAGAGTCCAAGCATTAGCTACACTCAAATCCAGCGTAAAGGTAAATAGGGACCCACTACCATTTTTTGCCTCTTGTAGCTGATCTGTATACAGCGATGAACTGTTCAGCTTGATAGACTCCACCCATGCCATGTTGTACTTCTGTAAGACAAACGGGATGTCCACGTCTACCTTTTTACCTTCTATAGAACTATATCTTCTTACCATGCCCAAAGGATAAACAAAGTGGTAGATTGTACCAATAGTACAAACACTGTTGTCGAGCCATGAACGTCACGCCACGAACGAAATTTTATTTACTGTATCAAATCTGTAATCTGCTCTGTTTTTCTTTTTCATATCCTTGACAGATAGTAATGAGCTTTGCTTTGACCTGTTTTCCCTCAGTGCCAGGCGCACGATAATCACCTTTGCGAAGGTCTTATAACAATGGGTGCCTGGTAAAAAAATCTGTAATGGTTCATCATTACTGCTATCCCATTCCTCGTTGTTCTTGGATTTAAATATTTCAACTCTCTCCGGGATACTGTGTGGAGGTATGTTTTACTGGATATCGTCTTCGCTTCCTTTTTCGTCGTCCATGAGAATACTCGGGTCTGGAGGAATTGCCACTTAATCATAAACAACGTCCCTATCATCCTCTTCATTCCAAATGCTTTCAACGGCTTCTTGAAGACCCTGATAGTCATTTGCAGCATTGAACGTCATTGTTTATGTTGAAAGTAAACCTGTAAATAGAAAACAAATATATTAGCATTTAGTCCATTTGACCCATTTTGAGACATCATACAAAAAGACCTTCTCTTATAGTATGGTCTCAGGAAATACTCATCTAAACAGCATAGTTTATAAGTTTAAAGTAAAGGCAAGTGAAAAATTCTATGAAACATTATAATGTTTGTATGTAAATATAAAAAAAACTTACCTTTTCTCTTTCATGCAGATGCTAAATGAAGTAAACAAAAACAACAATTGCACCCACTATAGCCTGTAAATTATATTATTATATGTTTTTATTACAAAGTAACACTCTTGGCATTACGCATTTGTATGAAAACAAAGGATAGATTTCAAAATTTAGATATGTGGGCACTTAAAGAAGTGGACTCAAATGAGGATGCAGACGTAAATTGGTTAATAATCACAATCGAAATATTATAAAGAAACTTTGTGTTAGTTAGAATTGACCTATATGTGTTAAGCTTTTCATTAATCTCGTAGACAATATGTATATGTCAAGTGAATTGTAGAATAAAATGTTATTATAATGACTCTTTAAGATTTTGAAATGAAATATTTTAGGAAATAATTTTTATGTTTTAAAATTTCAGAAAATTGCTATTCCAAAGTGAAGCAGGAAACTGAGGAAATCCAAGCTAAAATTCAAGAGAAGCTAGGCTTAAAGCCAGTTGAAAATGATGTTGTTGTGCTGTATCAAGGAGAAACACTTCCAGATCAGGTAGGTTGATGGTTGGTGTTATTGGTTGATAAACTAGTATCAAGAATAGTTTGTAAACATATAATAGACCACCATAGATAATTCAAGAGACCACCTTCGCCCAGGATGACAAGGGAGGTTGCGGCGAAGAGATAGTGCTTTCTGTAGGCATAAAAAGGACCGCACAGATGAAAAGTGGAATCTGTACAAAAGTGCAAGGAACCGATGTAATCAGATGATACGCAATGCTTAACGCCGTTATATCCTTAACAACCTTGCCTGTTCGTCCCCTGCCAACACTTGGAAGTTCCTTGGAACTCTAGGTATTGGTAAACAGAGACCTGCTCATCAGTCGACGATGATTGGTTTGGATGATATTAATTGTCATTTCTCCACTCTACTATTTTGGATCACCAAACCAAGAATGTTACTGTCATTTACTTGGCAAGCCGAAATTCTCCTAACATAAACTCCTTTCAATTTGTTCCAGTTGCGCAGGGCAAAATCAAAAAGATAATCCTGTCCATTAAGTCCAACGCTGTGGGTTGTGATCAAATTAGCATTATCATAACTATTCTTGAGCAACTCTTACCAGCAATCTCCCAAATCATCAATTACTCGCTATACTCCGCAACCTTATCCTCACTCAGGCGTAAAGCTTACATCATTTCTCTACCTAAAACTGCAAATCCGACAATAGGGAATATGCATGTATTTTTTTTTTTTTTTAAATGATTCTACTAGTTATTACATTACCAAAAATAAATATAACACATCCGAAATATAAACCGTTAAGCAAAAAAAAAATGTATTATAATCACTATCATTTTGGGGCAATTTGAACACGTCTAATTTGGCGCGCTTTTTTTGTGACGTCAGATTACACTTTCAGACGAATTCGATGTCAACAACGGAGTGAAGTTCACAAAGTTTGTGAAAGTTAAGAAAGTGAGTGATAAAAATTAACTTATTACCATGGAAAAGCCAATAAAATCTTATTATAAATATTGTGCCGTTCCTTTGTGCCCAAATAATATCAAAACTGCACCTGACAAAGTATATTCAGTCATTGTGTTGAGTCTTTCTACACGGGAATTTAATAATTTAACACTGAAAACGTATTGGTTATTAACTTAAAATGAAACAAATAATCACCAGAAACCAAATATTACAAATACACACAACTTGTTGACACTCTTGACAGTGTAGGTTGACGTCACGTTTTATTCAACCAATAGCGTTGCGTTTTAGAAATTTGCAAGGAAATCTTAAAAAAGCCAATTTTTGATGATTAAATTTCACTATTAAATTATAATAAATTTTAAAAATAATTGTATGGGTATCCTTTTTTAGCAATAAAAATTACAAATAAAAATATTTTGTCCATTTTGGTGTCACGTGCATATTCCCTATTCCTAATCATTTTAGACCCATATCAATTCTTCCCTCTACCTAAAATTGCAAATCCGACAATTCCTAATCACTTTAGACCCATATCAATTCTTCCCTTCCCTTCTCTTCTTCCCTTCAGATAGCTATCTGATTTTATATACAAAAACGACTTGTTAAGCCCATACCAATCCGGTTTTAGGCCTGGCCATAGCACTACTACCGCTCTCCTCAAAGTGACTGGCGACATCAGGGTTGACTTCTCAAATGCTTTTAATACCGTCAGTCACGATATTCTCTTGTCCATCGTCTGCTATCTTATGATCTCGCCCGAAGCGCAGGAATGGTTCTCATCTTATCTTCGGGGCCGCCAGCAGTCTGTTTGTGTTGACGATCTCTCCTCGAGTTGGTGCCATGTCGGCTCTGGTGTCTCTCAAGGCGGTATACTTTCCCCTTTGCTTCTTTCTATATTTATTAATCTCCTATCTCTTAAACCTCGAAGTGCGTATCATCTGTATGCTGACGACCTACAGATGTATTCTCAAGCTGCCGTTGAAGATATAACAACAGCTATCGATAATATTAACATAGATCTTAAAACGATTGATAACTGGTCTGAAAGGTTTGGATTATCGGTTAACCCTACAAAGTGTCAGGCCATACTAATCGGCAGTCAACGTTCGATGAGCAGAGTGAATTTCGAGACGCTTCCTAAAATAATTTTGAATGGTACCGCTATACCTGTTGGTCGAACGGTGATAGACCTGGGCTTACAACTCGACTGCACTCTGAACTGGCGCGATCAAGTTACATATGTTTGCCAGAGGGTGACCGGCATCTTCAGAACACTGTATCGCCTAAAAAACTTTCTCCCCGTGAAAACTAAGACAATGCTTGTGCAGTCTCTGATCTTCCCGTTAATCGACTATGGTGACGTGTGCTATTACGACCTGAATGCAGATCTTCTCAACAAATTAGATCGTCTTCTCAATAACTGCATTCGATTTATCTTTAATCTTCGTAAGTATGACCATGTCCCCCGTTTCCGTTCCCAGCTTAGGTGGTTACCAATTCGTCAACGCAGAAAAATGCGTGCACTCACAACTTTGCATACTATCCTCAATTCCCCATCCCCTCCTACTTATTTAACTTCACAAATTCAACTATTATGCAAGAACATAACAGAAACCTTCGTTCTTCTAACAATCTCCTTCTACTTTGTCCTTCTCACACTACCGGGTTTGTTGGTTCTTCGTTCACTGTTCAGTCTATCCTCCTGTGGAATGCGCTTCCTGTCGAAATCAGGATGGTTACAAACCGTTACTCCTTCAAGATGAAGGTAAAGGAGCTGTTGCTCAGTGATGTGGCAGAATCAACGGGCTCTTAATTCATCACCCACAGTTATAATATTTTTATAATTGTATCTATGTGTGTATATGTATCTATGAGTGTATATGTGTACGTATGTATATATATGTAAGTATGTATATATATGTAAATGTGTTAATCCTGGTATATACACTATAAATATAATAATATATCATTGCCTGTATACGTCTATTCGAAGGACAAATAGTACTGTATAAGAACTCTATCATTTATCCCCATAAATGCACCTACCTCACTCTTTCTCTGCATCGCCCAATCGGTCGACTGGCAGAGAATGCCTTAGGCATTAAGTCCGCCGATGTACACATTTGTGCATAAAGTCATAAATAAATAAATAATATGTTTACAGAAATCAATGTTCTGTTGTGTTCTTAATTTTAAGATTCTAGAGTTTCTCTTTATATTACAAGTGGTTAAGAAGTATGTTAATGACTTTACCATATCTCAACACTCACCAAAGGAGTTTCTAATACTTAGTAACTAAATTTAGGTCACAATACCATACAGTTATTGTTATTTGCCTGCAATTTTCTATACTTGCGTTGAAATTCGTAAATGCCTAAGAACATTAGTAAGGAAATCCATAAATTTCAATGCACTATTCACTTAAAGGAGCATTGAAATAGTGAGTGTTATATCATACAGTTGTAAAACAAAAGGAAACATATTATTTAAGGAATATTACTATGTTTTAAAAACATCCTTACACATGAAAAACAACTATCAAAAGAATAATATAGAAAGATACTATTCTACAACAATATTAAATAATATGAATTAATAGTCACATCATTGTCGAATAGGTTTAGTCTTACACATTGTATATGTTCCTCAACACTTGGATATACACACACTGATGAATACAGCATATTGTTAGAAGCAGCAGCTTTGCCTCACCTCACAGTATTACATATCTATGTACAAAACATTTTGACTACATTGATCAATAAATTTACTAAGTTTAGTAAAATAAGTATCAATTTAGACAAAGCAAGTATTTAACGTGAATAATAATAACCTCACACAGGACTGTCTGATTCCAAACTAGGCTGAGCCTGTACTATGGTACCAGACTACAGATAAACATACTTACCTAAATATTTCTAAACACATTATGTTTATCACTCAAAGTTTTGTCCTGGGTATGAATCAAACTTATGAACTCAATTAGAGACCACAATTTGTGTAGGTTGGAAGAATGTTGTATCCTATCTATGCTTTCATTTTCGTTTGGACAATTTTATAAATAGTCATTTCATGAAACATGATTCAATGCAAAAAATACAATCAATTTGATTTAAGAGAAAGATTTAATTGATTTGAAAATAAGTAAAAACATAATTTTTTCCAACAATTATTGAATTAAATAAATTGGATAATATAATTTAAATAAAAAAATAATTCATTTAAAGTTTGAAGAAGTGAAAAATTTAAAATAAATGTAGTGTATATAGTTTAATCTAATATTTTTATATCTAATATCCTTTTGGTTGGTTTCCAAATATAATACGACAGATTTTTCTCAACATATCTTTAAGCAGTACTATAATTCTGTGTGTAAGATGTGAAATCATTGTTATAGTTTAACAGCTTAATTTTGGGCTACAATGATTCATCATCATCATCATCAGCCTATCGCAGTCCACTGCTGGACATAGGCCTCTCCCATTGCACAATGATTGAATGTATGATAATGATTGAATTGGGTAATATAATTTATATGACCAATAAAAAAATTATATAAATTATATTACTCCATTACCATTAATGTACAAAAATAACGACAAAAGGGTGGGTAGGTATATCACGTTTTCATTTTGATATGTTGTAAAAACAAAGGACTAGATTTTAGTGTTATTGATTTATACATTATGCAGTAAAAAAAAATTGTTAGAACAGTAGAATAGAATGTAAGGGTGCTTCTTCACTGTCCCCCATTAGCAAAATAAATACAATAGTTGCCTGTCCATTGCACAATAGCCAAGTACCATCACAACTGCGCTGCAGGTATGGCTTGATCTATACCGAGGTCAGATACATTAGCCATTCGAATTACCACTATTGCCTTGAAGACCCCATAACGACGGCGGTGGACAATCGCCATTACGTTCGTTCCCAAGCAACTGTCAAAGAAATTAAACAAATAGACAGAATCTAACTTACAAAGCTCAAGTAGTTTAATAATTAATTTTATTGAACATGTTGCAATTGCTCATATAAATTACTCAATATTGTTTAAGAAACGAAAGATGTGTTTTTTAACATAAGACATTTTTTGTATTTTTATAGCCTAAAGAGTTTTGGAAGGGAAAAAGAATTATTGAGATGAAAAAAGAGCGGCCACAATTTTTCAGCAAGAATCTTCTTCAGAAAACGACACAACAGCCATCTACAGCCACAGATGTAAAACCTACAGATTTAGCTTAATATTAAATGTTTGACGTTTTTTTCAAACAAGCAGTATATTAGTGTTGTAGAGTTGATGTATAATGTTGATAAATAAAAATAATGTATTAATTGCCTTATTAATTCTATTTTTTTTCTTTTTTTCCTGCCAAAACCAAGTTGAAGGAAATGTTGCAAGGCACAACCAAATGTAAATTTGGTTTTTAATATTACTAATAGTTGCATAAGCATAAAAGCAATTCATTAAACTGGCATACTGTTTTAATAAATTTCTTTTAAAACATATAGCAATTGCAATAACAATATTATATATGTCTCAAAGGAATGTAAAACATATCTAATTTATCTACTTTTTAATCACTTCTTAATCTAAACTGTTGTATGCTTTTGTTTTTCTTGAATTAACATCATATTGCTAAGCACAATTTGTGCTTAGTTAGAGTTAAATATTGTTTTCAAAAGAGTTGGGTATGTTATCAAAATTATCTGTAAGTGAGTCCAACTCAGTGTCACCCAAGAAATGACTTTCAACATGTGCCTGAAACTCAGAAAAAGATACTTCTTTTACAAATGTTTGTCCACACATAGGACATATTTTATCACATGGTTCATCTGTAACTTCCTTCTCGCTTTCCTCTAAAATACTTTTCTTAAATGCAGATGTATTCAGTTCACTAAAGTTATTATTGTATGTACTAGAATCGACTGGTGTTGCCCAATTTGCTAAACTATCACTAGTTTCTATCTCTTTATGTTCTGATGTGACAATTTTGGCATTGTTTGCAACACATGTAGGGCATTTATATCCTCCTGTAAAAAATAAACATAAATTTACATATAGGTACATTAACATTTTTAAACATGAAAAACGATCATGTATATAATATAGCATTACACACCTTGCATTATTGACTCAACTCTAGAGATAATCAACTTTAAATCACTTTCTTGCTGTGCTAATTCCTTTTTTAAATTATTAAGCTTTTCTGTTTGACATCTGATTTCTTTTAAAGAATCTGTCGCTGGATCTTCCATATAAGTGAAGCCAATAGAATCTAAATTTAACATGTCATCATCAATGTCCTGAAGCTGTGCCATTTGCTCATATTGCTCCACTAGCTGTGACTTCTCTTGTATGTAGCTATTTATCAATTTAAGTGAAATTTCTTCTAAACTAGACTCAGAATATTTTTCTTGGTAAGCTGCACTTCCTTTAGGAGTACTATGAATGTATGTGTTTGTGCGTAATAATGGCTGTTTATTATACTCTTTGCTGGTTAATTTATCCGGCCCCTTTAGAGCAGCTATTTTATTCCATAGATTTTTATTCTCACATTGGACCATAAATACATGGTGCATGAGCTTCGATTTTTGTTTATTAAGCTCTGCTATTTTCTGCTGCAAAACAAACTTTTCATCTTCTTTAATTGGAATGTATGGTGAAGATTCAGTGGCTTTCACAACATCAAGTTTCAAACGCATATTGTCGGTTTCTAAACTATTGATCCTTCTTTGAAGAAGTAAACATCGATCTCTCATAGCGTGCAAAGCTAACTCGTGAACGCTAATATCACCCTTAAGAGTACTTTGGAATGTTGAATCATTATTAAAACTAACAATTGACGAAGAATCCATTTTATAAAAGAAAGAAACAGTAAATACAAAAAAATCCTGCTTGTATTTGACACAAAGACATTTCATGCCTGTCAAATTTTGACACTTAACAGCAATGAGAGAGTAGCAGGGATGTTAAATTGTGAGCCAAAGCTGGTACGCATGTCGCTAAAAGGCTCAAAAGTGGTGATCTGAAAAAAAAGTTGGTACACTCACAATAACCTTATATTAATAAAATAATAATAATGAATATTTTATTTTTTATGTTCATTTAAATAAAATGTTGAATTATCGAAGAAATTCTTGATTATTTTTGAAAAAAATTCATACCGGATAAAAAAATAACAAAAATAGTTATTATTGATATTATAACTAATAATAATTATTCTCATTATTCATTGACGTTTTCATTATTGGATAAATGTCCATACATAATTTAAAAAAACATATTCAAATCAACCGTAAGTAACATTGACCGAATTTATATATTATTTTCAAACAAAATCATACCTATAGATAAAAGCCGGTTTAAAACTAATGAAACCACTCCTTTTAAAACGACTAAAACCATATAAACCCGAAATAAACCAGTACTTTTGATTTAAAACGTTAGATGTTGATGACTATGTTTTTTTAAATTAAAACTATATTTTCTTGATTTTACCGAGGTAGGGATATTACGGAGACTGACGAAGTACCTATAAAATGTGTAAAGCGTTTTTATATGTATGATATACTGATATTTATATACTTAGCGGGTAAAACTCTGTTGGTAAATAATCATTTTTTTCATTGTTTTCAAACGATATAAACAATCAATTGGATTCGGTTTGAAACCAAAACTCACAGTCTCGCACTCTTGTTGACAACGTCGGCACCGGCGCGACAGCCTTGAAGACATAATGATAGCTCCAGTGGCGCAATCGGTTAGCGCACGGTACTTACAAGCAGTATTACGTGTGAAGACATAATTGTTTTATGCGCAAGTAAAACGGACTGCATTGTGTTCATAATGTATTCTAATCTAGTATGTGTAATGTAATATAATAAATCAGTATAGGGAGGTAAAGGATGTCTCAGTAAGCGTGCACTTTTTAAATTAAGAATATTTTTTTCGTGCAAGTGGCAACTCTGAAATTTGACAGCTGTCACCTATGTTTATTCCGATTATTAAAAATGGAGCGCTTTTCGAAAGAACAACTCGAATCATTGAGTTAAAACAACACTAGAGAAGCAAACCTCATTATCACATGTCGAAAAAAGTGTAACCACTTTTGAACTTTGACGACGTAGCTTTGATACCACTAAACATTTGAAAGTAAACATATTTATGTTTCATTTACACGCGAAACAAGAACAATACCATCGCTCGGATTAGACAAAGAGCGGTGTGAATAAAAACGAGTAGGACAACTAAATACTTGAACATATCAAAATAACAAGTAAACGCCAAAATTGAATTGAATAAAACAAGTATTTACTCTTACTCGCGAGTAAATACTTGAGAGGCTAGTAAAACCCGGAAAAATGCCAATTTTGGTGTGAATGAACGCAAGTAAATACTTCTGTAGCAAGTAAATACTCGTCTATTCGCAAGTCAACCCGACCCCAGACTTGCAGTCGTACTTGTTCGTCCTAAATAATTTAGATCGGAATGAAGTTATAAATAGACGACGTGGTCAGCAAAAACGATTAGAAATTAGTAATAATCTGATGATGTAAATACACATTTTTGACATGGCAATAAATTTAATCCTATAAAGTTAAATTTTAATGTCCCCCGTAAGTCGATTAGATTTAATCCACCCATTTCTATTCCAATTTCTTCCTCAATCTATAGAAAAAAATCATATTTTGTGCGAGCGAGCGGAGATTTCAATAAATTGTGCAAGGAATACTCTCTTGATCCCTTTAATACCAAAAGCAATGTTGTGCGCGGTATGCTAAACCTTGAATTTTTTAGATCGTAACATTTTTAGATCGATTATTATTTATTGTATAGTTGTATAGGTGTAGTGTCGTATTAGTTAGTGCTCCAGAACCTCTGTTATTTACAATGATTCTATTCGTGAAAACCTGTAATTGGCTTGATGTAGCATATCAATCTGACCATTTCATTTTTGTAGCTGTTGGTTTTCCTAACTGAAATAAATAAATAAATAAATTTAATACAATTAATCTCAACAACAAAAATTATTTTAAGACATCGTCTTCTTCAACCACAACGCGTTATTCAAACGGACGAACGGACTCCGTTCGTCCGTGTTGTGCAGCTCTTAGGTTCAACTCCGTTATCATCAGTTGTTCACGTTCAGCCTGAAGTCTTGTTAGCTTAATTTGTTCAAGTAATAATAAACGCTGCAGCTCACCAGTTGTCAACTTTGACTTCTCTTCAGTTTCAGCTGAGAGTTTCAATTTCTTATCTTTTTTCAACTTCGTCGCATCGCTCTTACGTATGCAAGTCACTGGTGTGATGGGCTGGTTTGATGCTAACATGTCAACGGGGTCATCTTCGTCTTCCCTATTCTCATTCTCCTCATTGAGTTCAGACGTAGAACTTGCCCCCAATCCAACGCATGAAGCCCCAGGTAATTTGTCAATTTTATTTTGGGTCAACCATAATTGCATATCTTTTTTTAAAGAATTCGTATTTGGGACTTTATTCACACAAATACGGTGATAAGGAGCATTATCCATCACTATTATGGATGGCTCTCGTAAATTAGGCACAAGTTTTTAAATAACCCACTTTTTAAAGTTGGTACTATTCATCTCGTCATGATAATCACCACTTTTTGTGTTTGATTTAAACACAAGTAGTGCATTTGTAACAAATCCAGTATCTCCTCACGCATGAACAATAATATATCTTTGCCCTTTCGATACAGGCTCCAATACTCCGTCTTCACCGTCTCCTTGCCAACATTTACCCGATGTATGCGAAGAGTGAATATAGTTCTCATCTAAATAAATTATGGGCCGGGGCTGGGGAGATTTATTATTTTTATCCACTGCATGCAAGTACTTAGCTCTCCAAGCTGATATTTCATTACGCTCCATAAGAACCTTTCGATTGGATTGAGATTTTTTAAAACAAAATCCCAACTTGTGAAGCAGCTTTCGCAGACTCTCTCGCTGTCCTGTGTAATTTATTGCTGTCTTTAAGACCTCTAGAAGCTTTTTAACAGTAGGGACCTCTTTTTTGGCTCATGTATTTTCCTCCGTATAACTCCCATGTTAAAATCATCAACTTGCACAAATCCACTTTTACGTTTTCTCTCCTTGCCTGGTGTCCGAATTTTTGTACCAGTTTCTTCTGCTGCATGCCCTCCCTAACTATTTTTGAAATTAGTCCTTGACTCACACCTGAAATATAGGATAACAAAATAAATGTTAGTAGAAATTTGAAATCTGGCAGGTTAGTTGGCTCACTCACTTAGCGGGTTACCTAATAGATGTACGTTACCGTTACGCTAACCGGCAGCAAGAATAGAAACGAATATTTCGTGGACTTAAATAATTAGTTAAGTACCGGGTAATTTATAACAAGAAAGTTGACAACACTAACCTGTCGCTGCCGAAATTCGTTTGTATATTTGATTAAATGGAATAATCGGAGACCCCGCCCGAGCTTCTTCTTCAAAAAAGGTTTTAACCTTTAGAATAATGTTTCGAACATCACTTTTAATAGCTTTCGGCATATTTAACTGTATAAATTCAGCAATATCACGACAAAACAACCAGAGAACCCGAATGTAGTAGACACTGACAATCTAATGACATTTCAACATGACGGCCGTAGTTCCAATTTTCGCCATTTCACAGTTAAGTTGGTAGGACTATAAAGCATATTATTTCATAAATTATAAATTCTCCCACTAATGTGGGAAAACCAAAATGATTTTTTAATGGTAACACTGATTCTAAATTACAATTATCAATGTTTTATTTCAATTATAGCCTTATTTACGATATTATCAATACAAAAACCATAAACTTACACGTGAAAAGTAATGCCGCATGATTTATGATGGTTTTGTGACCTTGAATCGCATTTCGGCGATTGTTACTGTCATGTGTCGCTATGTTCAACTCGGTTAACGCTACATTGAACACTGAATTGACGTTTGCTACGCATATGGCTGTGGATAGATGTGCAGTAGCAACGATTTTAGGCGGTAATTACTCATCTATGTAAGTATTATAACAATGGTTATAATTGTGAAAACTCATTACAAAAATGGGAAAAGTTGCGCTGAAACCGCTCGCAAACTTCGCTAAATTTTCAGTCGAGAAAGTTTTATATGATAAACAAATGCACCCACAACGAGCAACTATGTGGTGCGGATTTTGGTCACTTACTTTTTTGAAGATGAGGCAGAAATTGCAGTGACTGTGAACGGCATTCGTTACAGGAATATGATAACGGAGTTCTTGTGGCCTCAACTGGACGGTAGGATCTGGTCAACATGTGGTTTCAGCAGGACGGCGCCACCTGCCACACCGCGCATGAAACAAGCAACTTATTGCAGCAACGATTTCCAGAACACATTATCTCACGAAATTTTGATGTCAACTGGCCACCAAGATCGTACGATTTTTTTTCTTTGGGGTTTTGTGAAATCTCGGGTTTATGCGAATAAACCAGTAACAATTTCTGAGCTCAAACCAGAGATCCAACGCGTCATTGGTGAGATACATCTCTATGTAAAAGTCATGGCAAATTTCATGAAAAGAGTTATGGCCTGTCATCAGAGCCGTCGGAGCACCATACTTAATAGGAACATGTCTTCTTTACAATCCAATAAAAATATCACAAATCTTTCATAAAATACGTGTTTTTTTTTTTAAATAAAAAAGTGCACTTACTGAGACACCTTTATATCTACATACTTAAGTTTTCGTGTAATAGGTAATGTAGGTACTTTCTATTGATTTTCTATAAACTAATTAAAACGAAAAATGACGAGGTGACCAAAAATTGCCCACAATGTAAAACAATTCTTTTATTTTAGTTTTCAACCCTTTAAAACGATTTATTGAGGGCAACATTTTATTTAAAACGTTTTAAATCGGTTTTTTTACATCTAAAATCATATCCATGGATAATCGTTTGATTGATAGAGTTAATCTGAAGTTACTCAATGGGTCAAAATAAATGTCATTATGAACAGCATTGATATAATACTTACATAGATGAGTAATTACCGCCTAAAATCGTTGCTACTGCACATCTGTCCACAGGCATATGCGTAGCAAACGTCAATTCAGTATTCAATGTGGCGTCAACCGAGTTGAACATAGCGACACATGACAGTAACAATCGCCAAAATGGCTAAATGCGTAGTGAAAGAATGCGATTCAAGGTCACAAAACATTAATAAATCACGCGGAATTACTTTTCACGTGTAAGTTTATGGTTTTTGTATTGATAATATCGTAAATAAGGCTATAATTTAAAATAAAACACTGATAATTGTAATTTAGAATCAGTGTTACCATTAAAAAATCATTTTGGTTTTCCCACATTAGTGGGAGAATTTATAATTTATGAAATAATATGCTTTATACTGTTTTTAAACATTTTGCCAATAATAATAAAATATAGGAAGAACGGTAGTTGTTAGGGCTGGACCGATCACTTTTTTTAGGGACCCGTTGAACGTTCACTGCGAGCTTGGCAGAAGTGCCAAGCTCGCAGTGCTGGAGACTTCTACAAAAGAATTAATTCATTGTTTTTCTTAATTTATTATTAATTTTAAATAATAATTGTACAAAATAATTATAATAATAATAAAAAATGTTTATCATAAATTAAAAAATTAAAATAAAAAAGTACTTAAACATAAATAAAAAAATTATAAAATATAAATAAAATAAAAAAATATATATTTTTATTTGTTTTTTAAATTATAATAGAATTTGCAATACACGCTGGGGATTATTTATTATCAGTACAAGTTGATCATTCACTTTTATTATTAAATGCTATTATTTTTACATACGTAAAAATAAGATTGTATCATGAAAGTAAAATATCCACACAAACTTATAAAAAAGAGTCTAAAAGACAATTGTATACAAAACTGATGCTTCACAGCGCAGTTTGATTTTACACCGAATATAAACCCTTTTAACCAAATATTTCCAGTTATTTTATTATTTATACCTATTCTATTCAATTCGAAATATATTATTTAGAATATTTAAATTAATTTATTTTATTACAAAATTGTTTTTAAAAAAAATTGTTTCTTAGTTGTTATGGGTAAAATTTCATACGGTAGTCAACACTGTCCCACCATCGTAAAGTTATATCTTTGTCTTTGTCTAATCCGAGCGATGGTATTGTTCTTGTCTCGCGTGTAAATGAGACATAAATATGTTTACTTTCAAATGTTTAGTGGTATCAAAGCTACGTCGTCAAAGTTCAAAAGTGGTTACACTTTTTTCGACGTGTGATAATGAGGTTTGCTTCTCTAGTGTTGTTTTAACTCAATGATGAACAGTAAATTTTGTACATGGTATAAGACCATTGATATAATACTTACATAGATGAGTAATTACCGCCTAAAATCGTTGCTACTGTACATCTGTCCACAGGCATATGCGTAGCAAACGCCAATTCAGTGTTCAATGTGGCGTCAACCGAGTTGAACATAGCGAAACATGACAGTAACAATCGCCAAAATGGGTAAATGCGTAGTGAAAGAATGCGATTCAAGGTCACAAAACCATAATAAATCATGCGGAATTACTTATCACGTGTAAGTTTATGGTTTTTGTATTGATAATATCGTAAATAAGGCTATAATTGAAATAAAACATTGATAATTGTAATTTAGAATCAGTGTTACCATTAAAAAATCATTTTTGTTTTCCCACATTAGTGGGAGAATTTATAATTTATGAAATAATATGCTTTATACTGTTTTTAAACATTTTGTCAATAATAATAAAATATAGGAAGAACGGTAGTTCTTAGGGCTGAATCGATCACTTTTTTTAGGGACACATTGAACGTTCACCTTCTGCCAAGCTCGCAGTGCTGGAGACTTTTGTATAAAAGAATTAATTAATTCATTCATTCATTTTTCGTAATTAATTATCAAATATAAATAATAATTGTACAAAAAAAATATATATAAAATAAAAAAGTAAATAAATATAAATAAAAAAAAAAAAAAAACAAAAAAATACATATATATTTTTTATATTTTTTATTTATTTGTATTTTAAAATATTAAAAGAATTTGCAATACACCCTGGGGATTATTTATTATCAGTACAAGTTGATCATTCACTTTTACTATTAAATGCCATTATTTATACATAGGTAAAAATAAGATTGTATCATGAAAGTAAAATATTCACACAAACTTATAAAAAAGAGTCTTAAAGACAATTGTATACAAAACTGATGCTTCATAGCGGAGTTTGATTTTACACTGAATATAAACCCTTTTAACCAAATATTTCTAGTTATTTTATTATTTATTAGGTATAAGGTTCCTTTCAATTTGAAATATATTATTTAAAATATTTAAATTAATTTATTTTATTACAAAATTGTTTAAAAAAAAAATTGTTTCTTGGTTGTTATGGGTAAAATTTCATACGGTAGTCAA